GTGTGTGTGTGTGTGTGTGTGTGTGTGTGTGTGTGTGTGTGCAGCTATGATGTCATGTGTATATAATAAACCCCTCTGTTTTTATTCTCTCTCTCCCTCTCTGTTTGTAGCTTCTAGGCAGTTTGATATCAGACTTTGTGGACAGTTTCAGACCCACAGCCAGAATCAACTCGATCTGTGGTGAGAGACGCATAAACACACCCACGCTCTTACAGAATATTGAATAAAAGATATCGAGTTTTCAGAGTTTTGTTGTTCTCAAGAGTTCTTGTTTTTGGCAAACTCTTCTTCATGCTTTGCCGAAGTTTTAACAAATTCCATTCTTTTTTTTTTTTAAACCAAAATATAAACTTAAGGTGAGAAAGTAAAATCACATCTAAAGGTTTTTTCTTCCCAACAAAAGACAAAATAGAGTTTCCATTGAGCAGTCTGTGGCTTACTCAACACTTGCATATACGCCGCATTGCATGCGACTCAGATGCTACGTGTGCAGTGTGCCTGTTCAGTCATTCCATGTGTGAATGTGTCCACAGGTCGGTGCAGCTTGTTGCCAGTAGTGAACAACAGCGGAGCCATCTGTAACTCCTGGAAATTAGACCCCACTACTCTCCACTTCCCCCTGAGAGGCATGCTGCCGTTTGACAAGGTATCATATTAACATCTACGCAAGCATTTACTCACACACACACACACACACACAAAAGCAGTATTAAATTGTATTTTTTGTTTGTTTTTTGTAGGACCTGTTTGAGCCACAGACGGGCTTGCTGCGCTATGTATTAGAACAGCCATATTCAAGAGAAATGGTGTGCAACATGTTAGGACTCAACAAGCAGGTACGACAACCGTTTCTGCTACTTTTGCTTCTATTCCAGGCCCAACACCTGCACTCACTGTCCCTTTCACTCTCTTTAGTTACTCTCCCTTCTCTTTTTCCATTCGTCCTCCTACCTGCTCCCGCTGTTCCTTTTCCCTTCTTCTCCTTCTTTTTCATTCTCCTCTCGTCTGTTGTTCTTTTTCTCCTCGACTTATTCTTCGCCCTCATCCTATTCTGCTCTTTCTGTTTGTTTGTTTTTACCCGGTTTGTACTCTTCATATTCCTTTCCTTTATTCCGTATTTCTTGTGTCTCCTCCACACCCTGGTAACACAGCTATATACAACCATATGTAAAGCGAGCCAATGCAGTGAGCTTGACCCATAATGCACTGGTGTTCGTTTTCCCTGTTGGGTTCATGCAGTTTCAACTCAGCCCAGCTCACAGTCTGACGAGCTCTCACAAAGTTTGTTGCTAACTCAACAATCAACACTGACCCAAAGCTCCGGTTTTGATTTTTTTTCCTCTCATTTTGATTACAAACAAATAACCCAGAACCCAGTTTGTCTGTTTGAATTGGCTGAGTTGATGCCAACTGTGCTGAACGGACGGTGAACTACCTAGCTCCTTAGTCACCACTTTCTTTCTCTCTGTCTCTCCTTTTTTCCCCCTCCTCTGTTTCTTTCTCCCTCTTTCTTTGTTTCTCTTTTGTCCTCTGGTTGTGTGTTGTGTTTGTCTGTCTCTCTGCCATGCGCTCTCTAGACTCTGAACATTGCCCAGGTATGTCGTTGTTTCTCTTCCTGGTCACCTGACCCACCCAACTAACCAGCCCATTGGACGCTTAGCTTTTTGTTTTTTTTATAGGCACGCTGATGTCATAGAAATGAGAAACTGGGAAACAAATAAAGAACTTGAGATGGAGTGAAGAGAAATGCGACAGAGCTTGAGATGGTCACAGCAGGG